ATTGTTCTATTGTTAATTCTTTGGACATTTTCATTATTTTAAAAAGATAAAATTTTATTTTGATCTAAAAACAAAATAAACAAACCAAACACGTATTTATTTAGTTTGATTTAAATAAACAATGGCCAGAATATTATATAACTACAATTTTCTACAGTCACATGATGTAATTATAACGAAAAAACCTGAAAGATGGCGTTCAGAAACTTTTGGCAGGAGTCAGTATAACCAGTTCCAATTTTTATAACATGAATAAAACCAGTTTCTAAAATTAAAACTGGTTTCAACCTCTAATAATTGCCAAATTTTTGACAAAATAATATTCTCTGCATTTTCACAAATTCCTACAATTTTGAAAAGTAATTCAGTCAGATGATGTGAACTGAAAAATCAAAATTATATAGCCTTATGCTTCACATATCAAATTAGTATTATTATTTTCAAATTGAGATCTAAATTCTGGTACTAATCATATTGATAATCTATAACATTTGAATTTATAAAACAGATAAATGAAATATTAGTTAACATTTTATTAAAGAAAAAATAAAAAAAAAGTTATTTTAAAGTTTTATCTTTAAAAAAGGAGACCAAACATAAACCTGGTATTTTGGACATAAATTCAAAGGTAAGCTTCAAAATTATTTTTTTTATTATTTTAATGAATATTAACTAATTTTCGTTTTCTTTTTGAGAATTGTTTACTACTTAAATTCTAAAAAAGAAAAAAAAGTCAGAGATTAGTAAGAGATATGAAGCAAAAAGAAAATATTAATAGATGAAAAAAATAAACTTATCAACTTTGAAAAAATTGTCACCAAAATCTATATAAAACAAATTTTAAAAAAATTTATCTAGACTCTGAATTCTTACAAAATAAAACAAGTTTCAAAGTAATTCAAACTTATCTAGAATTTGACATTCAAGTTTTCAGAGATAATGATTATTATTTATTTATTTACAAAATGGAAAAGTAGCAGTATTTTATGTTTTAACATACAGTAATAATAATTTAATTAGATAAAGGTTTCATCACATAACAGATTTTCAGAATTTAAAAAGTTTTTAAGAATTATCACATTATCCTATAACTAGATTTTTAATTATAGCCAGCTAGTGGCCGGCCTTAATTAATATTTAAAAGTAACATATATTTTTTATTTAATATTTATAAATATCATTATTAAATTTTTTGGAATATATATTATATATGTATAGATTATGATATTTTATTAAATTGAAAGTATTATGATGCTTTTTGTTTTAAATGAGAATATTCTTTAATTACATAAAATGATCTGGACTCATCTTTATATCATGTGTTCAATTTTGTTTTTAAGTTGTCATTATGTTAATTATTAATTTCTGTTAACATTCTGTAGTTAAAGCATAATTAAATTACTAGGTAGACTATAATAATGATCATATATGCTATTAACCTTGCTGGATTAGTAGTTATGAATAAAGCATTAAGGCTTATATTATTTCTTTTGCAAAAATATTTAATTTTTTGTGATACATATCATGAATAAGAAGAAACTTTTATATTGTAAATTAAGCATTATGAAGAAATAATTCACAATTTAATTTGATCTTTGCAATTTTTTTTTAAAGTATAAATATCACATTAATTATAATTTGTTTATTATTGATTGTGATAATATTTTGTAAATAATTTTAGCTTATTATATGGTGATACTATAATTAGCTATAGTGCTATTAGGTAGTAATTTAATTATATCAAGGATTTATATATTGTAAAGAAATTTTATTTTTAGATTCAATCGGTTCTCCCATTTAGGCTAAGGATTTGACAGAACCTTTAAACAGAACTGTTTAGTTATTCACTTTAGCGAAAGGTTAGCCATTAATTTTTTAATATTTTATTAATTATTTTATATTTTCTTTTAGGTTTGATCAGTTTTTCTACTTAGATTAAGAACCTTCAAATAGAACTGATCAGTTCATCACTGTGACAAAGATAAACTGATATGAATTTTCTTAAAATAATTTTTTTTAATTTTTAAATTTGATCAGTTCTTCTACTTTAGCTAAGGATCAGACAAAATCTTTGAAATAGAACTGACTGATCTTTCTTATAGTAAAGGTAAGCTATCAATATTTGTTTGATTTCTTTTTTTTTTTTTTCTTTTTTATTTATTTAATATTTTATTTTAATAATTTATTAATTTATTTATTTACTTTTAAGTTCATCAGTCCTTCTGTTTTTATGATACATCAAATAATAAGGCTTTCTCATAAGTGTGTAAATGTGATGCTATACGAATATTAAACTAGCATTGATCAGCCAGCAAAAGTAATCTAAATAAATATATACATATCACTTAATTCATATAATTTATTTTATTTTATTTTTTATTTAAAAAATAAACTAATTACTATTTTTTTACCCTTTTTGACATAAAAGTCATATAACGGTATCTTTTTAGTAGTTATTTTTTAAGAATAAATCAAATGTTAAATATAAACATAAATAACATTAATAAAAATTTCTAAAAAATAGAATCTGTATAATAATTACTATAAATCTGTTAACTTTGATATTAAATTTTAAACTGATATTATTACCTCTAGCAGAGTCTGCATAGTTTCTTTTAAATATAATCAAAGATAAATCTAGCCCTTTGTTAAAATGTATAGCAAATGGTATTATATGAAATAAATAGATAGAAATACCTTTTATAATTTGAAAGGGCAAAATTTAATATGGTAATTGGAATTTCAAAATGTTTGCAATTAGGTTTTTTTTTTAAAGCATTTTAATTTCTCTGATTTTGATTGGCTAATTATTCAAAATTTAATAAATTATATGAAGAATTATCAATTATAAAATACAAAATAAATTTGAAGCAGGATCTTATTTTTTTTTATATTACTTTTCTAAAAATCAAATATTATATCTATATTATATGTTACAAATAACTATTTTATTAAATTCATTATCTATATACAAAAAAATATTCAAATTAAAATTTAAAGAAATTTACCATTTTTAACTTTTGATTTATGTATATTTTTAATAATATAGGAAAATATTATAATGTTAAAAGAATAAAGAGTCTATATTTTACTATATTTTTTCAATATGCATTTGTTTTTTGACATTTTAGTATCTTCACTTAGCTTTTTTTGCAAAAGACTTTGAGTAACTACTTGTATTTTCTTATCTTCCTTATCATCTTTATTATAGTTTTCATTTTCGCTTAAATCTACCAACTCTACACTATTGTCTACATGTCATTTAGTATCTTTCTCATCATTTTCAGTTTCTATATTATCATCTTTAAGCCCTTTATTATTTCTTAATTTTATTATTTTTTTACGAATATTTCTATTAAGAACATGCTACTCTTTTATTAAAAATCTAAATTCTTCCTTTGCATCATCATATAATTTTTTCTTAACCTCTGGATCTAATGTGAGATCATTAAAATTAAATTTAGTAATATTAATCTAAGCTTCTTCACTTAAGTCTTCAATGGTTATTGATTTTTTAATTTATTTGTATTTTTTTATCTATTTAGGTTCAATTGATTCCTTTACTTTAGCTAAAAACTAGACAGAAACTTTAAATAAAACTGACTGGCTTGTTATTGCAATTAAAGTAAGCTGACAATATTCGATTTTTTTCTTTCCTTTATTTAATAATCTTTTTATTAAGATTTTTATTCTTTATTTAGGTCCTTTTCTTAGGTTAAGAACTAAACAGAACTTTAAAATGGAACTGACTAGCTTGTCTTCATGATGAAGGTAAGCTAACTATTTTTTTTTGATATATTTTTTATTTTTTTTCTTATTTTAGTAATTATTTTGCATTTTTTAGGTTCAATCAGTTGGTTAAGAATTGGACAAAACCTTTAA